ACGCTTCGCGGCTGGCGTTAGAGCTCAGCCGTGCTGGGTGAAGCAGGGTAAGGGAAGGAGCCAGCTGCCAGTCCCGGTACCTTGTGCCTGTTGGCGTGGCTGAGCCTCGTAGCACCGAAGGCTGCGCAGTGTACTTACCCAGTGACACGGGGCCAGCCTTCCCCTGGGAGTTTAGAAAGCGGGGAAATAATCAGTAGAGTTCCTGCTAATGACTAACTACCAAAAAAAAATAGTAAGGTGTGTATTTTCATTTGCTTGGAGAAGCTTTCTTCACAAAAGCATCTTTCTTGTTTGAGTTGGTGTCTAACTGTACTTTGGGATGTGGTTTTTCTAGTTGGAACCCCGAATAAAAACCTGTTTTCATTGAGAACAGTAAGTGTTCCACTTTACATCCTAATTATGTAAGACAACCAGCTTCCAAAGACCTGGCATAATTTCAGTGACTTGGCTGTGAACCATTTTTCACCCTTATGTTTTGTGTTTTTTTCCTGTTCATTTCAGGGATAGCTGTAGCAATGGACGATTACACAAAAATAGAGAAGATTGGGGAAGGTAAGTATGGAGAACTGCGAGCCTTGTAATGCTGCACAACTTGAGTTATCAAGTATGATAGAACCTTAGTGCGCTCTGGCTATTGGAGGAACTACTGAGATTCAACTAAGTGGCAAAATAAGCCATTGCAGCAGCTATCTATATAAAAACTTTCAGACTGCCCTTCTTTTGGAGATAGCATGGTTTATTTGAAACAACCGATCAATCTTGAGAAACGTCTGCCTTCATATTGATGGCTAATGGTTTAATTTTCTTCCAAGAGTGGGGGGGGAAAAGATGTTCTAAGACCTGAAACCAGCTTTTCCATTTTTGGGAGGCTCCTCTATTCCTTTGTACATGAACCTGTTCACCAGTTACTCCTGAAGATGTACTTGTGGTGTGCTTACTTTGCTCAGAGGTGCTGGCTGGGAGTAGTGGTTTGTGGATTATTCTGCTTGGATTTTATCTGGACACTGCTTGTCAAGGAAAAGAGCAGACACTAAACCTCTGGAGAAGTCAATTTTAACAATTAATTGACCGCAATGCACAAGGAAGATTCCTTATTGCTAGCCCGCTTTCACTGGAAATCCAGCCTATGTTAAATGTAGAAGTCAGTGTGTTTTATAATGCTTTAGTCTCGTGTACACTTAAGAATTTGCAGTATGTTACTCTGAGAAGATGCTCTGTAAGGTAATTGTTGTGTTAAAAGGAGAAACACCAATTGTCAATTTCAGTCGTGTTAAAAGAGGCAATGATTGCTGTTGTCCTGGAAACTTTCTTGATGTTCTGATAGGTGAACAATTCTATGTAGGCAATTTAGTAATTTTATACATTCACCCTGCATCACATGCTGTAAGAATGGGTGATTTTTGAGGTGTAAGCACTCTGGAAAAATTTTAGTCAAGATGTTGCTTTGCAGTTAGGACTAAAGTTTAGGCAAAGGTGCCTAAATCCCACAGTAATGCAAAATATATGTGCTTGGATCTCACAGCAAAGCTTTATAAGTGAAGCCTTGTGTATGAATCTTCCTAAAAGAAACCAGTTTGAGTTTAATTTGAGGTATCAGTGCTTCAGGAAGGGTGAAAAGGGAATACTTGAGGTGTCTTGGTTTCTTGAGGGTTGTTCTTCTGTGAACACTGATGATTAAAATAGATTATTTACTCGAGATTTACTACTGGTTCCAATTTTAGCTTCTGCTGAGGCTCACAGCACTACCCTCTCTCCTGCACTGAGGACTGTGCTAGAGGTATTTCTGTAGATCTGACCAACAGATGGACAGGCCCCCAACTGCAGAAGGAACACTACTTCTTTTTCACAGCTAAACCCTGAACTTCTAAATGTTAATGCATCAATGTGATTAAATGTAATGTATCAATAATGAAAACATAACCCCTTGGGGATGAAGAGGTATAGTGATCTTGCCTGAAACTCAAATACTACCTGGTTTTCACAACTACTTCTTCTAAAAATTCATGTTTCATGCTTAGGCTACTAAGTACCCTGACCTAGCAAAGGGTAACTGTTTATGGGTGGTGTGCTTTAAACAAATAAAACCATTGCATGGTTAAACTGCCAAAACTAAGCAGTAGCTTGTAATCAGGCCAAATGCTTAAACAAAATATACTTGATTGCAAAGATTCTTGCCTATGTTAGCAGTTCTTATTTGCACTGACTTACTTGTACCTGAAGCTGGTATTTCCTATGTGCGTTTCACTGTCTTTTTGTTCAGGTACCTATGGTGTTGTGTATAAAGGTCGGCACAAAACCACAGGCCAAGTGGTTGCAATGAAGAAAATACGTCTAGAAAGTGAGGAGGAAGGTGTTCCAAGTACTGCTATCCGAGAAATTTCTTTATTAAAAGAGCTGCATCATCCCAATATAGTCTGGTATGCGTATACTGGTATTCAGCTAAACTCTTTGAGGGGTACTAGATCCCTTCAGATAAGAAACTATTTTTCTACCATGCTAGTGAGGTGACAGCTACTCCTACTTAATACAGTGTCTGTTTTGCAGCAAATAGTTATATTCTCAAATCCTGTGTTTATGCCAGTTTTCTCATTAAGACTCCTTCATGCTGCCTCTTCCCATTCTAGAAACCTAAGAATTTTGTTGATTTCGTAACTTATGGAAATTATCTTCAGAATGGAGGCAGTGTATCTCATGAAAACTGGTTAAAGGTGTTACTTTAGTCGGTCTCAGAATTCTGTTTGCCACCTTGGAATGGGCCATTTGATCTTAGTGTTCTTACGTGAACGCCTGTCATCAATCACTTCCTGGCTGTTTTGTGGCAGAGGTTTACACGTTGTGTTATGATGCTGGCACACCTGAGCTATGTGTGAAACTTAAATCAGTGACTACTTGACACGAAGAATTGATGGCAGCTATTGTCTTCCCCACCAAATATTTACTTGCTCTTTGATGCAGCAAAATACTTTCTCTGACGTCCCTTAACACTGTCCAAGTTACAAACATGGAGATGCTACATGGTTGTGCGCTTGGGTTTAGGAACCATTATAATCTATTAAGGATGAAAGAGATACTTAAACCTATGCAAATCCTGCTATGTCTACTAGATTCCTATTATAATATTCCCTTAAATCCTCCTAGTAATTCAGGCTTGGCTGTAATAAACCAGCTTCAAACAGAAGCTAGGCACCAATACCCACTCTTTTTAAATTGTTTTATTCACAGGCAATAATATTTTTTTCCTAACACTTCCTATGTCTGATACTAGTCATGATGGAACATGAGTTTAAGAGGAAGCATATAGGTTTTTATCTCAGTCCAACTATGTCAAATATATTTGGTTTTCCAGATGACAGTGTAACTCCCCAAGTCTGTTAATCATTGAAGACTGAAAGCTTTTTAAGACTTTCATAATGGGAACCTGGAAATGTCAGCTTGTATCCCCTGTTTAGAGGGGAAATATAACCGTGAGTCAATGCATTTTGCAATGGAGTTAACTGTACATTCAATCTTTAGTCTTCAGGATGTTCTTATGCAGGATTCAAGACTGTACCTTGTCTTTGAATTTCTTTCCATGGATCTCAAGAAATACTTGGACACTATTCCGTCTGGCCAATATTTGGATCGTTCACGTGTTAAGGTAATGAAAACAATTTCTTTATGTGAGAGAGAAGTTAATCTAATGGTGAGCTACAAAGCTATAAGCAGCTCTTATTTTCAGTATAATTAACTCCTTGAAGAGAAACGGAAGTTTAAAGAAGCAGCTGTAGATAATAAGATAAATGTGAGTTTTACTCTCAAATGCCACTTAATTCTTTTAATTACTGAAGTTAAACTGTCTTAAACTAAGCTTAAGTTGGATTAACTTGTGTGGCTTGATGATGGATATTAACTCAATATCTGCAATGCTTTGAATTTCTGTTTTCTATGACTGTGGTGAAAGTTAATGTAAGGGAACAGCTTTAAGTTGCAGAACACTAACTTGTACTTTTTTCTTCCTCCCACTTCACCCTTTCTAGAGTTACTTGTATCAAATCTTGCAAGGTATTGTTTTCTGCCATTCAAGAAGAGTTCTGCACAGAGACTTAAAACCTCAGAATCTTTTAATAGATGACAAGGGAGTGATTAAACTGGCGGACTTTGGATTGGCTCGAGCCTTTGGAATTCCAGTACGGGTATACACTCATGAAGTGAGTGAGTTGGAACACCCTCTTGGTGCTTTGGAGAATGCTTGCTAGCTTCCTGCTAATAATGGAATAGGAAACAGCTAAAAAAGAACAGTAGACTCTTAAGTCATAAACTAACAGTACCTAGAAGTTATATTTCTGTGTTGTATTTTATCCAATGCCTTTCCATCTCCCTGACTGTGTCTTTAAGGTTCCAAAGTGTCTTGCAAATCCCACTGTTACCTTGACAGTGAATCAGATGGGCTAGAATTTGTTGCTCACTGTCTTGTAAGAGCATTTTTGCTTCACAAAGTACTCAAGCTCGTTGAGGGTTTTAGCGGCTAGGTGTTTAATGCTTCCCGTGCTTTGGGAAGTAGTGTAGGCAACTGCCTTGCTTGCAGTAGAAGCTACTGCAAGGGAGACTGTTATATTTGTCTATAAATGAAGTTTGAAACTAGTATTCACTTAAACTTCTAATGCTGGCTAATTCACCAAAAAAACTCTGAATGCTACTTAATAATGAGCCATTGTGCTTGCAGAGGACCTGATTCCACAAACTTGTAACAAAACTTCTTTGTTCAATAGGTAGTGACACTGTGGTACAGGTCTCCAGAGGTGTTGCTAGGATCTGCTCGTTACTCTACTCCTGTAGATATATGGAGCATAGGTACCATATTTGCTGAGTTGGCAACTAAAAAGCCACTTTTCCATGGCGACTCAGAGATTGACCAGCTCTTCAGAATTTTCAGGTATGTCAGGCTGAACCTTTCCTCGCTACTCGTGCTGTGTTGCACAACAGTGCTGCGTGCCTACTGTATTGCAGTAATGCAAACAGATTTCCGACTAACGTGCTTAATATTTTGCTTATGCTTGTGTAGAGCTTTAGGGACCCCTAACAATGAGGTATGGCCTGAAGTGGAATCCCTGCAAGACTATAAAAACACCTTCCCCAAATGGAAACCTGGCAGCCTTGGAACACATGTCAAAAACTTGGATGAAGATGGCCTCGATCTGCTGTCTGTAAGTACTCTTCCCTAAACTGCCGATTAAGAAAGAGAACGGGTAGGTTCTAATACTCTAGAATATGTAAAGTTGTACTAAATCAGTCTTGGTTAGAATGAAGACAGATCTTTGAGCTGTCAGCAGCGGTTTCAGCTGTCACTCTTTTAGAACTGACACCTTGTGTGATTGCTCACTGCTTTCATAAGTAATAGATAACTAGACTACTTCTTGTTAAGCACTTATGCCTCAGATTTTTTTTTTTATACTAATAAGCCAGGTCTAACTTTAAAGCTTTACAGAAGTGCCTAATTGAAGGCTCCTGCCCACAAACTGTACCTGCCACCTTCACAGTGTTTTGAGCTACTGCTAATGAAGGCAAAAAAACCTTACTAGTTCCTTAGATGGTGTTAACACAGTACTAACCTCAAAGCATAGTAAATTCTGTAAAATCTTCCATACTTTTGTCTTAAATGAATAAATATTCACATTTTAGCTTCCTGCTAATGGCTGGTGACAGTGGTATGGCTGAATTTTTAGGCATCTGAAGTCCATTTAATTTCCCTATGGCACTTCTAAGCCTGCAGCAGTATTTGAAGCCTGCAGCAGTAATATCACTTTAAAGGCAAAAATATTTAGTATTTCATTCTAGAGCACAAGCTCAAGTGTATCAATGAACGTGTGAATGTCTTCTTCTATAGAGTGTTGCAGGTAGAAGTAGTATGTAAAATAGCTATCTTTGAAAATGGATTACATGTTTTTGTGTCAAGACCAATTGCTTAAGTGAGGCTGTAAACTTTAGATCCTTCACAAGCTAAATGACTCCTGTGCCAGCATTTCAAAGCCTTTAATGGCTGTCATCAAAAGCTTTAGTCTACCAGACACTAAGTTCCTGGAAAAACTGTGTTCCAGACTGCTCAGAGAAGAAATGGTCACTTTATCAGCTGCAGTGCTATAATCTTAATGCCACAGCACCCCTTTTTCACAGAAATTTGCCCCTTTTTGTCTGAGTCAATTTTAAGAGAACCTTTGATTATAGCTATTAGCTACAGGATACTGTTGTTCTAGGGTGTAGCTAATGGGAACCTGTCAAGGTAAAACTGGACATGCAAGGTTAAATTTAGAGACCGTGTTGCATTTGGCAGGAGTTCAGAGAATAAAAATGCTAATTCAGTGTCTTAAATCAACTTGGAAGATTCCCTATAGATTGAAGTCTAAAGATAGTTAAATGTCAGGACTGAATACTGGGCAGAGTAACACCCATTAAGCTTTTATTTTTTTTCTGGAAGACAAATTTGTAGTGAGGATGGAGGAGAAGCAGCTGGTAGAATCCTAATTACTTGAATTTGAAATGTACTTTCAGTTAGTAAAGAGAAACAAATGCAAAAAGACTTTGCTAGTTTTAGTTTAGTGGAAAACTGCTAAAGACTTCATTCCTTTCCTCTTTTTGGCTCCTCATTGTATGATATGAACTGTAGATGTTTTTTTTTTTTTCCTTAACTGGTACCAAAATAAGTCTGCTGTTCTAGAAAGTTCTGGGGGCTGTTTTAGTGACTATGGCATCCCCCTCTATTTGGTCTCATCAACTTTATTGAGGACTTCTTCAACTGAAGTAATTTATTGCAAAGAAACTCAAGTTCTTTAACTCTGGGTTTCCTTAGTTCTACCTGCTTATATTCTGCTTTCCCGTTTGGATTCTGTAACTGAATGATCACTCTTATTTTTAACTCTAAACCACTGTGCCAAGCTGAGTAGAAGCAATTTGACATCAGTTTCTTCAATGTCAGTTTAACAAAACAAGCAGAAGACCACTTGTCCTTGTAAGCATTTTGGGCTTTAACAACCTAAAGCTTATTAATTTCTCTTAGTTGAGAAGCTCAGTCTAATAATTACTGTCACTTGATGCCTGGCGCTGGATTTAGTTCAGTGCATGTTGTACCTTGCTACATGCATGGGCTGAGGTTACCGAATGAGGTGTTAGGTGTTACTGCTAACCTCCTGCTGACTTGGTGGTGGAACTAACCTCTCCTATGTGAAATCGCAAAACAAAGCTTGGCTTTATGGCTACTTGATTATTCCTATGGTTAAATATCTACTTATTTGATGTGATTTTAATTCCCATTTCATGAAGAACTAAATGTGTTTTGTTTTTTCTTCCAGAAAATGTTAATTTATGATCCTGCAAAAAGAATTTCTGGCAAAAAGGCTTTGAACCATCCATATTTTGATGACTTGGACAAATCCACTCTTCCTGCTAATCTGATTAAGAAATAATAGACATTTGGACTAAATCAGCCAGAATGAAATAATTGTGATTACTTTTACTATTAAGTCTGTCTGTAATTTTAATGTCTGTCTTTCTGTTTTAAAACTGTGGCTCTGTTCAGTTTGTTTTGCTTTAAGTGTTATCTAAATGTAAATATTAACCTTTTAGGGCTGAATTCAAATACAATGCAAATACTGCTGCCATTAATGCAGTGAAGTTTCTATAAATAAAGCTTTAAAGCCTAGTGAAGGAGTGGACTTCTTTCCAGACTATGGATGCGCTCGACAAGAGGATTCCATTTTCTTTGGGATGTGTGGGTACGGTACCACTTGTCTAAAAAGTGACTAAATTACTAAACTGTCGTTCTTGATATTATAGGAAGATGCAGTAGGAAATTCCTCTGATGTTTGAGATGTTTCAGTATATGTCAGTTAAAATTTTACTGGAGCATGGCAATTATGTGCCAAAGGACATGTAAACTGAGATATTTTGACCTGAAGAATTGCAGCTCACTGCTTAAGCCAAGTAGATGGCCAAACCTCAGTTTAGGGTTTGAGATTTTCGAAGGTATTTGGAAAAGTCTGTGTTGTGTATGCTTTTCTGTAATATTGAAGGCCCAAGAATTTAACTAGATGTTGGCATCTTAAGAATTGGCACAGTTCCAGCTCCTGGACCTGCTAAGGTACATCTTCAACCTTACCTCAACTGTCTAGACACCAGTGTGTCACTGCTTAACAGGGCTCCTTCCAGCTGCTAATAGTAATGCAGTTCTGATTCTTATTAAAGGTAAGAGCCTCCTGGATTATGCTTGAATTTGGAAACTAGTCTGTTTTCATCCAGGAATAGTCAATTAAATGTTGAGTTAACATGACTTCTAGGAGTGCTCTTGTACACTGAGATGCTACATGTCTACAGACTCTCCCATGGTTGAAGTGGGAGCTTTATAAATCCCAGCATTTAACTTTACAAGTATTGTAAAAAATGTAAACAAAATTCAGAGGTATATACTGATTATGTTAGATTTCCAGTTGCTACTTCTATTTTTAGCTTTCAGATACATCACTAAGGATGTGCTGCACAGATGTCCTTAAGTCTCATTGGATCTAAGCTCTTCATAAACACTGAGGTTTTCAAAGAGCCTTGTGTGAGACTTTGAAACAAAAGTGGTGGAGAAGGTGACATCCTGTCCCTCAGCTGCTTATTGTGTCTGTTGATCAGTAGCTGGAAGTATTAGTGTTAGACCTAGTGTTTATTAAATAGCATTTTTAGATGTAAATTCCTGTTGGGGTGTTAGCATTGCTCTCTGGAAAGTGGTTCTTAATCTCTACAAGTATCTAGACACTGTCAGCTTAATGGAATCATTTAGCAGTGGAGAGGTGTTTGTATTTTGGTTTTTTCTTCTTTTTTTTAATTACTTATACTGAAAGTTATTTCTTAATTGAAGGCAGAAGGGATGAAGATTGCTATAGCTGACTCCTTTCTATTAATATCACTAATAGAATACAATTCCAAGACAAATTAAACTAGGGACGTTTATCTGCTTTTCAATGTAGTAACTCGATATGAGGTTTGCAGGCCAAGGGATAGTACTAGCTGTTTACCTCAGTGTAGAAAAATGAGGAAAACCTGCTAGCAGCTGCTCTGAAAATTGGAAGCTAATGTATTTGAGCAAATACTTGGGACCTTAATATTTAGTTTATCTCTTCCTTGTGGACAGGCTTTTATTTAATTTCTTGTGGAGAAGGTTTCAGTTAGGCAAACTCAGATTTTTATTGCTTGCAACACTAGTAAAGCCTTATTTTTGTTATGTGACTACCAGTGTCTGTTTCATGTAACAAAGTGAATGCTTTAGTCTATCCTAACTAAAAGATTTCAGTACTAAAATTTCTAAAGAAAGCTTTTTAAACAATTTACTACAAGTCTGCAGTCTTTTGTTTACTGTTACGAATGGTGTGGTACAGCTGGCATTGCAGCTCAGAATGAACTTGGAGTGCTTCTAGCAAACAGGACAGCGAAAGGAACATCACACTGTCCCTCTGTGCCTGAGCTCTGGTGCTGTGAGTATTGCACTCAGAGATGTGGCTCATTTCAATAGCTCCATTCGGAAATACAGTGCAAGGGTATCAATGATAAAAATAACTTACCTTAAGGAAAAAATACATTATCTACTCTTTGTAACTGCCCTGTTTTCTAGACCCAGTATGTGGAAGGTTTGTGATGCTCAAGACTTGGCCACCTGAAACTCCCATTTTACGGCAGTAAACCTGAGGTACCTTGCACTTTTGGGACTTACCCCACTGTGCGTAATAACTGGCAGCTCTGTTTATTGTTAGTGCTTTGGCTGTCTGTTATGAGAATTGAATTGTGATACTACAACATTTACCCTTCAGTTTAGGACGTTGTAGTGCATGCCTGGGTTACTCTGGTTCCTAATTTTTATTACAGTGTTTAGACAATTGAGTTGTACTAAACTAACAGTTGGATATGGGCTCACCAGGTGATGGTCAGCATTTTTTCATGGCTGCAGATGGAGAATGATTAGCTGAAAACAGAAAATATTGTACCTTTTCTGAAGTGACTAGAAGTCAATGCTTTAACTGTTTTTTGGTTTTGTGGTGTGGCTGGTTTTTTTTCCCCTCTCACTACATATGCAGTAGATTTAGTACCAAATTACTTAGTAATTAAGTTACTATGTGCCCACTTACTCATAGTGTGACTACATTGAATTTAAAGTTACCTTTATGGGCTTCTATAGTGATAATGAGCATCTGTAAAAGCTCCATAAGCTTGCAGTAGCTTACTTTTGAATGTTCTAAGAACTGGGGGTGGCGCTACTTTATTTAAGCACAGTTTGCTTTTTGTTGCAATAGTTCCATAATGTTGCATCAGTATTACTTTTGGTGCTGTGGCTACTGCTCAGTAATATGTTCTCTACCAGAGCACAGGCAAACCCCAGCAGAGAAGGATAAACTTGTTTGAATATCCCATTAAAAAATTGTGCAGATGAAAAAGTTTTGTATGTACAAGAATGGAATTTCATACCAGATCTGATTAGGATGTTGGTGTTGCTTTTTAAATTTTTTTTTTTATTTTAGTTTCCAAGTGCTAGCAAGCTCTGTTCTTTTAAAAATAGCTGACTACCTACTAGATACTTTCAAACTGAGCTCAGCTGCTTTTATTTTACTCAGACGTAATAATTTTAGTGAGAATATGGTATTACCATCTGCTGCTTTTAAAATAAGTGGCTCTTAAAAATAGATATTTCACAGGGAACAAAGAAAAGAGGAGGAACTGTACTTTTGAAATCCCTGAATGGGGTAAATACTATAAATGCTGGTATAAAAAGAAACCTCTGTACCTCTTCACGTGCTGGTGTGGATGTCAGGGTCAGAGGTGGTCCTTCCTGGGCCAGTACTTGCAGTTTTATGCTGCAGTGTTCCATGAATCCATCCTTTCTTTCATTTGAACAAGCAGAGCAGGGTGAGCCAACAGGCATGTTCTGCTGCAGACTTGACCTGTTTCAACCAAAGCTTCAATTACAATATGTTCTTTTCTAGTGACTTACCTTCTTGTGGGTGTTTTCCTATCATTGTTCATGCACCTTTATAACATCTGGAGATGGAACATCAGAAAAAACCCTTTTCCTGAAATTGCTGCTACCAAACACAGAACTTATGCAGAATAGTGTGAAAGACATGTGCAAGGTTTCCTAAATACTTCTTCAATGGAGAAAGTTTTCAGTTTGAGACGCGTCTCCTTTCTGGTCTAAACCCATTGTGAGAACCCTTATAAGCATTTTTGTTTCTGTTCCGGTTTTCCTCTGGAAAGCAGGAGCTCTGCAGAGCTGAAGCAGGAACTTCTTCCCATCCTGAACTGCCCTGGCTTTTGTTCACCAACCTTGCACTTTTCTTGTCCAAATAGGTCTGTGTGCTGGCTTTGGCATCTGTGCTGCAGGGTTACCTACCCTTGTTCCCAAAGCAGTGTCTGTAGTCGCCTCAGTGGGGCAAGAATGTTTTGAGCCTGGTCAGCAAGTTGCAACTGACTTACTTGTAACCTGCTCTGTTAGCTCTATCTGGCCATCTGGTAATATTTGTTTTAGAGAGAAGGAAAAAAAAAAAGGGAGGGGGGAACTCAGAGTCACAGACAAACCCCTCACCCACAATTTATATACTGATCTGAAGGAGTAAGGCTAAGCATAATCTCATAAACCCTACACTCTGTGGACTCCGCACCTAGAGGGCTTGATAATATCAACTTTAGGTGCTGTAGAAATATGTTCAATGACTGTCCTAACCCAAGTTACAACTAGTGATAATTTATCAGTACTAGGAAAGGGCTATTCTCAATCTGAGCTGCTAAAGCAAAAACTTGAACACTTACTGCAACTGCAGTTACTAGAACCAGAAGATTGTATTTACTGTGACTGGTAAAGCTGAGTCCATTGGAACACCACATAATTTGCTAGGAAGTGAGAATATTACCTGCTCCTTTACACTGTGTGCAGAGTTAGTGCCAAGGGGAATAAGGTTAAGGTAATGATGTGTGTGACAAAAGGAAGGTGGTTAATGATTAAAAAAAAACCCAAAACTTATTAAATGAAGGAAAATGCTGAATGCCTATAGACAATTAAAGTTGGAAAATGTGCCCTATGCATAAGCTGGTTTCCAACTGAAGCTGCTGTTACTCACATCAATAGACCACCTTGCGGAGGTACCAGGCTTTCAGGGGCTGATGAGGCACTGCCTTGGGACAGTCCTGCAGCAGCTGGTAAATACATATTTGATCTGATTCCTGTGGTGCTAAAAGAGGACTGACTTCAGCTTTGCTGTGTGTAGACTTGTTTTCAGCATCTGTATAATTTGTTTCCTTCAGAAAGGAGGGGATGTCAAGCTATTGTGTCACTACTAAACAACCTAACGAACCCCTCGTTTGTCCTGGAACATGCACTACACAGTGTTCCTTTGCTACTTCATCTGTTGCAGAATAAGGTAGATGTAAGATTTGTAACAGTCCAAGGGGGATGGGAAATGTACCTGCTGCTGTCATAAAGATATAATTGCAGATGCATTTGCTACACTTAAAATCACTTCCAAGCAGCAAATAAAACTTCTACAGCAAGTAGTTGAGAATTTACTAGCATTTGTGTATCATATCTGGGGTTATGTCTCAATAGTATTTTTTGAACAGCAGAATCTACTGCCTGGGGTCTACCAACCTGCCTGAAGACAGCAC